AAGTCAATAAAAATATATTTTAAAAAATAGGTAAGGCAAATTAAAGTTATTTATCTCCCCCAAATCTGGGGTTAACTGTGGGGACTCCTTAGAGAATGCAAAGGACACCCCCCCCCCCCCTGGAGCCATGAGATCTCTGTAGTTATTTGGAGATACAACTGCAGTCTACATAGATTTTAAAAAATGCTTCTATTTTTTAATTTTTCGTTCTTTTTCTTATTTGTTTTTTAAAATATATTTTTTACTGATTTCAGAGAGGAAGGGAGGGGGAGAAAGAGATAGAAACATCAATGATGAGAGAATCACTGATTGGCTGCCTCCTGCATAGCCCACACTGGGGATTGAGCCCGCAATCCTGGTGTGCTCTCTGACCGGGAATCGAACCGTGTCCTCCTGCTCATAGGTGGACACTCGACCACTGAGCCACACTGGCCAGGCCACAGCTTACACAGCTTCTGAGCAGGGGATGGGGAGGAGGTTCCTGCATTCGGGCAAAGCCAACTAGCAGCCTCCTCTGCCCCATAGATGAGAAAGGGGCTTCCCTGGCCCCCAGGAACCAGGGCTGAAGGAGCCCTTTTGAGGTTTGATGGAGGAGCCGCCTTCGATTCCTGCCCACTTTCCGGGTGTGGCGGCACACCCCGATGCAGGGTTACCTGCGCCCTTTTTTCCAATCCACCAGATGCGCTCTGCGTTCTCAGGAAAAACATTCATTTTGAGAGCGACAAGGTAACCTTTCAATGAATTCTATTTCCCGTGGGCAGCCCTGGCCTCATAGGGGGGCCAAGCAGCCTGGCCTCGAACCCAGCACGGGGTTGGGGGCTGCACCTTTTGTTTTGTTTTGCTTTGTTTTCCGAGCTTCAAGTGCACCTTTGCCTGGGGCGCTGTGCACTCCACACTCCCTCCCCCCTACCCCAGTTCAGGATGTCCTTAGGGCCTCAGGCCTGCTGAGCTCTGTGGGCTGGGTGTGCTAAAAATAACGGTAGCTGTAAAAAAAAAAATGTTGAAGCAGATTTAGGGGCTCTTGCGGAAAATGAAACACAGAAGCTGGGCCCTGGGTGGTTCTATTTAAAGACGATTATCGTCTCATCCCGTCCTGTGGATTTCCATGGGAAGGCTCTTTCTTCCCCGAGCCTGCGAGGGACTCGCCGCTCCCACAGCTCTCTGCAGAGCGGCAGCTGGCCAGGGAGTGGGAGCTCCGGGTGGACCAGCAGTCCGTGCTTTAGCTCCACAACTGTCCCTTCGAGTGGAGGAGAGCGAAAATAAAGTCTTCAAGGCCAATTTCACAATTTTATCTTCTGTGAAAAGCTAAATCAACAAGGTTGTGAAAACTTACAAGCAGTTAAAACACTTTCACATCGTTCTCCCCTGAGAGAGAGAGAGAGAGAGGAGAAGGGAGGGAGGATGGGAAAGGGGGGGGGGGAGGGGAGAGAGGAAGAGGGGAAGAAGGAGAGAGAGAGAGAGAGAGAGAGAGAGAAAATCAGACTCCTTTGTTCAAAGCAAAGTCCAACACAGCCTTTTTAAAAATTTCTTTTCCCTTGTTTTAAAAACACGTATGGACTCAATCTTTATACACCAGTGGACAAAAGCAATTAGACAGCTCTGTTTCCCATGTCATGATAATGAAGATCGTATATTTTCCATGCTGTCTCAATCGGTTACCCGGCTCTGCTGAGAGCTTACATGGAATTTCAAATGCAGGCCTTTGCTTGACAGGACTGTTATCGACCGGAGGGAGAAGTGCTTACAGAGGAGGGGAAGGTGGGCATCACAGGTGTAAGCTCCTAGTCCGCCCCCAAGGTTCCTAGCATGCCCTGGGGGCGGGGGCGGGGGAGTTGAGGATGGATTAGATTTGGTTCAGATTTGGAAAGCTCTCTTGGCAATCTGGGAGAGGAGCTTTCATAGCAGGTGAAACTTGCACTCTCTCACGTCAGTGGTCAGGACTCCTGAGGTTGTAGGGGACAGAACTCAACACAGCTCAGCCTAAGCGAGGAAGAGAATTGGTTCAGATACGTGGTTAATTTAAAGGGGAGAATCTGGTGAGACACAACTGATTCCAAGTTGTCCAACAATATCATCTATTTTTCTCCTTTTTTACTTTTAATATATTTCTATTGATTTCAGAAAGGAAGAGAGACATAGAAACATTAATGATGAGAGAGAATCAGTGATATGTTGCTTCCTGCTTGCCCCACACTAGGAATAGAGCCATCAACCTGGGGATGTGCCCTGGCCAGAAATCGAACCCTGACCTCTGGACACTCAACCATTGAGCCAAACCGGCTGGGTTCTTTTCTTTTCTCCCTCTTCCTTCTTCTTTTCTTCCCCTTCCTCACCCCCTTCCCCTCCCTCTTTTCTTCCCCTTCCCCTCCCCTCCCCTCCTCCCCTTCCCCTTCTCCTCCCCTTCCCCATATCCTCCCCTTCACCTTCTCCTCCCCTTCCCCTTCTCTCTTCTCACTCCCCTCCTCCCCCACCCCCCTTTTCCTGCTTCTTCTTCTCCTCCTTCCTCTCTTTCTTTTTCTTCCTCTCCTCCCAAGAATAGCCACTCCAGGGCAAAGGTTTCCCAGGGACCAATAGTTCCAACAATAACTGGAGTTAATGTTCATTGAGCCACTGATTATAGGCTTGAGTTACTGGTCCATAGCTGGAGATGGGAGTGGGGTCAGCCCCATGAAAACATAGGACTGAGAACCAAAAAAAAAAAAATTGTGCTTCAGTGTGAAAAGAGGGGAAATGGATGCAGGATGCCATAGCTGACTCCAATGGGACCCTTGTGAGTTTGACATAGGCACCCTCTCCAAGTTGAAATAGCCTGCTGCTCCCTGCCACTTGGCAGGAGGTAGACGGCACCCACTTTCCACTGGGCAGAAGCAGTCCCACACCCAGGACACATGGTTGAGTGAGCAAAGCTAAAGCTTGTCCCCTCCAATGCAATGTGAAACCTGAACAACTGAAAGTGGTAGTCATGGTGAGCAGGCAAAGCTGGCAGATGCCCTCAACTCCCATCCAAACCATCTACCCTCGCCCCAACTTTTCTTGTCTAACATGCTTAAGTTACAGCTTCTCCACAAGGGCATATGCATTAGCCATTTCACAATTTAATGTCTGTTCAGGCTGAGGTGTGGGGTGTTAGCCTGCGGAGGGAGTGCTGGAGTGGAAGGTTGCCAGCCCTGACCTTTACCACTGGCCATACTCACTCTAGTCTTGATGCTCTTTTGGGTCTCAACTTCCTCATGTCTAAGACAAGAGGTCCCTCTTAAGTATCCTTCCCTCCATCCAAAACTTCTGATTGGGAAAAGAAGTCAATGGTTTGGGGGTCTTTGCACGTGTCAACAAATACAATTCTTTCTGCCTCTGCCCTCTCCCTCCTCTGTGCACACACTCCTCCCCTCCTCCCCCCAGCTCTCCTGAGATTATGAGAAACCAGAGGTTTTACTGCCTTAGTCAGATCCAACACCTCCAGGGTAATTTCCCTCCCCTACTCGGCACTGGTAACACACAATCCACCTCATACCTGTTAGGCAAATTAGCACCCACTCACCAACCTGGGCTCCTGCAGAGGCAGGCTGGGGGCAAACACAGTGCCCATGGAGTGAAAATGCAAAGCAGAGCAGAGGGACTCTTGTCCATGGAGGACAGCCTGAGCAGGAGGAGGACCATGGAACAGGGCTATCTGAAGGGGAGGAAGGACACTCTATTTTTCCTGCTGCCCCAGGTAGCCCCAAGCTGTGTGTGTGTGTGTGTGTGTGTGTGTGTGTGTGTGTGTGTGGTGTGGATGGCTTCTTACTCATCTTACAGGTGGGCATTTAACAATCTTGCTTGCGTTTTGCAACAGTAAATTCTACTGCCCAGCACTGAGACACATGTAGCTTGAGTCCTCTGCTATCTAACAGAAACCAAACGTCCTCTTAGGCCCTGTGCCTGGTCCCACCCCTCCAGGCCTGGGAGAGCTGGAGCAGAGTAGGCCAAAGTGAGACTGCCAGAGCTGCTGGGGGAGGGCTTGGGGGTGAGTGAAATGTTCTTTGGGGGAGTTGTGCTTTTGTCTTACGGCTCGCAGCCAAATGGGTTTCCTAAGGCCGCCTATAGATTAGGGTCATTAGTGTGAGTGGGTTAGGCAATGCTTATGGGTGCCACTGGGTGCCAGTAGTGACGTATTCTGGGGTCCAAACAACCAGTCACACACGCGAGGAATGAGTTCTGGTAATGTTTCCCGTTCTCCTGCAAACAGCTCCTGGAGCTCAGTGCATGCACGGGGAAACACGTAACGACAACGCCTGTAATCACAGGGCACCTCTCAGTTCTCAAAGCTCTTCTCCACACAGGATGATCTAGCAGTATAAGAGCTCGAACTACTGAACTCCAATCTTCACTCCTCGCCCAAGGATATTTTTTCCAATTGATTTTTAGAGAGAATGGAAGGAAGGAAGGAGAGAAAGAGAGAGGGAGAGAAGCATCAATGTGAGAGAGACACATGGATTGGTTGCCTCCTGGACGCACCCTGGGGCTGGGGATCGAGCCTGCAACTGATGTATGTGTCCTTGACTGGAATAAAACCTGCAAGCTTACAGCCCGTAGGCCGACACTCTATCCACTGAGCCAAACCGACGAGGCCTCAAATCTTTCACTCTTGTAATGACTGAGGAAACTTGAGTAACTTACTTAACTTCCTGGAGCCTCAGTTTGCATATCTGTAAAATGCAAGAAAATAATGGCTCTACCTTCACAAGTTTGGGGGAGCGCATTGCAACAATCCACGCTAAGCTCTTACGGCACGCGGCCAGACACAGAGCGGAGTTCAGTGCACGGTGGCGGCCACTGTTATTAGCTGTGAACTCATTTGATTATGGGAATCACCCTTTGTGACGTCAGTGGAGCTGGGGCATTTTCTTCCTCTTTTGATAAATGAAGAAAGTGAGATCAGAAAGTAAAAAAAAAGACAAGCAGGAGGCCTTGTGAGGCTGCGGCTGCCGTCCCGCTCCTGCTCCCTGGACCGCGGAGGTGCCATGAGCTGTGGGGCTGCCACGAGGGAGTGCCCGAACACCGTGGGCAGGAGCCTGCACCCCGGCCACCCGTGGATCTGGCAGCCCAACGTGTACGTGGACGAGAACGAGCGCACCTGGCCGCCCGTCATCCTCGAGACAGAAAGCAGCCTGCAAGTCCTCCTGCGCCAGATTGAGGTCTCCCGCGGGGAGGCCGTGCAGCCCAGCCGGCTGCCCCCCAGCACGCTGCCCCTCATGTGGCAGCTCTACCCTGGCAGGCGGTACCGCGCCTCCGACTCCAACTTCTGGCGCATCGTGCACCACATCGAGACCAGCGGGGCTGAGGACATGGTCCTTGAGCAGCTGCCAGACCCGTAGCACGAGCCATGAGTTGCAGTCCTGTTGGCCTGCAGTGGGGATGTGCATGCTTCTGTGTACCTTCTTACCAGCCCTGCTGTTCTGTGGGCCACCCCCGAAGGGAGGGCGTGGACGGGCAGAGGATGAGCCCTCCCAGGGCCAACAGGAGCCTGTCCTCAGCCCCCTCTCTACTCAAGGGATCCAAGTGAATATGCCGGGCTTGGGGCAGATGGGAATCATGCACCACACAGTTAGATCCAGCGTCGCTTCTGCAATATTTCTATCCAAGATGCACTGTTCCTGCCTACATCTAATCGTGAGGAAACATCAGGCCAAACCAACATCGAGGGGCATTTGGACATGCTGGGACTGTAATCTTTTTCTTTTTAAAACAATATATTTTATTGATTTTTCACAGAGAAGAAGGGAGAGGGATAGAAAGAAACATCCATGAGAGAGAAACATCGACCAGCTGCCTCCTGCACACCCCCAACTTGGGATGTGCCTGCAACCAAGGTACATGCCCTTGACCGGAATTGAACCTGGGACCTTTCCGTCCATAGACCGATGCTCTATCCACTGAGCCAAACCGGTTTCCGCAGGATTGTAATCTTAAAAAATGTCAAGGACATAAAAATCACGGAAAGAATGAGGAGCTGCTCCAGACTGAAGATGCCCCAAAAGACATGACAGCGGATGAACATGTGATCTGGGCTGGACCCTTTTGCTATGAAAATGGTGTTATGGTGAGGCGACCAGATTTCAACATTGGTAAAGCGGGACACCATTGATGGGGGGGGGGGGGGGCTTCTTGATTAAAAATTTGGTCTATATGGAGCAAGAAAAATTTTCATAGAAAGCAAAAATAGTATTGTTATATAGTTTTAAAATTTCAACATAAGTACAATTTACAAATATAATACATAAAAAAAATTATGTATCGTCGTAAGTGTCACTTTCAAGGCCGGCGCTAGACTTTTTGCTGCCACTATATAAAATATAAATAAGACGAGTACTGTCTGCTAAATTCAAGAAAATTTATTCATTTATGAAATAAATAAATAATATCTTACCTAAATTATCTAAATAGCTGATTTGTAATGACATCACTTGTTTAACTAGCTTACAAAGTGTATTGTCTGAGAGACAGATGTTTGCGTTGTTGCCAATCCCAAAAAATGCCATTGTTCATTAAGTCCAAACAATGGTGGTCGAATTCTAACAACTGATCAACAATGCGAACTTTGATAAGCAGTTCTCGATAATCAGTTCTCAACAATTATTTATTATTAAAGTTTAATATTATAAAATTATCAAAAATAATATAAATCTCATATCCTGGCTAAATAGCCACATGGCCTCCGAAAACCATATATTCCCTTCCCGTTCTCCTGCCGTTCCCTCGCTTGTCGTGCATTCTTTCCAAAAATCGGGACTTTTTTAAAACGCTGCAGGACGAGGGACAAATTTTAAAAATTGGTACTGTCCCGCCAAAACGAGACATCTGGTCACCTTATGTTTAGGCATGTTGATTATGAGAGCAGTCTGGCCATGACATTAGGCTCCCTATTCATCTCCAAGGTATCAATCAAGCAATGTATCTCATCTTTCCAGAGGTGGATTTGAAATCTCTCTTTTTTTAAAGAAGGGTTTTTTATTTTATTTTTATTTATTTATTTATTTATTTATTTATTTATTTATTTATTTATTTTTAATCAGTTTTAGAGAGAGAGGAAGGGAGAGGGAAAGATAGAGACATCAATGTAAGAGCATAACATCGACAGACCGGCTGCCTCCTGCATGCCCCCTGCCAGGGATCAAGCCCACAATCCCAGCATGTGCCTGATCAGGAATCGAACCAGCAACCTTTCAGTGCACAGGAGGGTACTCAGCCAACTGAGCCACACGGGCCAGGCGGACTTGAGATCCAACATTTGTCAGCCATATGACCTTGGGAGAGTTGCTTAACAGATCTGTGCCTCACTTTCCCAACCTGTAATATGGGGGATAATAATAATCCCCATTCCCAGTATTTCACTGAGACACTAGGAATACATGAAACATGGAACCAGGAAGAAAGGTCACAGCAGGCAGCATGGATTTGGGAGTTACTTGCTCAGAAGCCAAGAGAACAACTGAGACGAGTGAGGGAGAACGCAGGGCAGGGAGGGGAGGCGTTGAAAAAGAACGAGAAGAAGGAGCCTGTGAAGGAGGCGAAGAAAAGTGTGGCTAGGGAGGTAGGAGGGAAGCCAGTCTTTCTGCGATTTAGTAACATGAACGTGGGCCTCAAATTCTCTTCTGTCCTACTGAGAAAAATCCATCAGATCGCATGGGCTTCCTACTTCCTGACGTTCTAGCTTCTGCTGTTATTTTTCCTTACAAACTAACCCCTATGGTTAAAAGTAGACCACAACATACCCACAATCTACATAATTCCCTTGTGCCCGGTTTTGACAGAAGACTTGGCCAAGCAATTGCCAAGGAGGAGGCCCAGTGCAGCCCTACAGGCCCAAGCGTCTCACTTCCTGGTTCAAATCCCAGCTCCACCATTTCTCAGCCATATGACTTTGGGAAAGTTGCTTAACTGGTCTGTGCCTCACGTTCCACATCTGTAATATGGGGGAAATAATAATTCCCACTCCTAGAATTGTTATGAGAGTTAAAGGTGAGAATGTCTGATAACTACCTGGAACAGTGGCTGGCACTATATAGTGTATGAATTATTAAAATAAATGTGAACCAGCCAAAACCGGTTTGGCTCAGTGGATAGAGCATTGGACTGTGGATTGGAAGGTCGCCGGTTCGATTCCGGTCAAGGGCATGTATCTTGGTTGCGGGCACATCCTTAGTAGGGGGTGTGCAGGAGGCAGCTAATCGATGTTTCTCTCATCAATGTTTCTGACTCTCTGTCCCTCTCCCTTTCTCTCTGTAAAAAAATCAATAAAATATATTAAAATAGATAAATAATCAAATAAATAAATAAAATAAATGTGAACCAATAAATGGGCTGCTAACTTCGTGTAGCCCATCCACAAACATTTAAATTGTCATTGCTATTTCAGTGAGTGACATATAAGTTAGACTTTCACAGGCATATTTTCTGCAAGCCTGAAACTTTTTTATTTTTTATTTTTAATGCAATACCACTTTTCTTGCCATAACCTTCAATTCTTTTTTAAAAAAAAATTATAAATTTTTATCAATGTCAGAGAGGAATAGAATTATTGCACACCCCATACTGGAGATCTAATCCACAACCTGGGCATGTGTCTTTGACCGGAATCAAACCTGGGACCATTCAGTCTGCAGGCTGATGCTCTATCCATGGAGCCAAGCCAGGTAGGGCAGGCCTGAAACTTTTGGTTCCCACAGGACAGTTCAGCCATTCATTGGTTGGTGTATTGGAGCCCAAGTGGTTGATGTCAAGAATCCAAAACTGCTCTCCTCTGCACGGCGATGGAGATGAACGTGCTCTTGGATGTTCCTATTCCCCATCTCAGCTCCCAGTAATCTAGTGAAGCTGTGCTTCTCAGACTAAAAGGTGCAAACACGTGACCTGAAGATCTGTTAAAATGCAGATTCTGCCCAGCTGGCATGGTTCAGTGGTTGAACATCCACCTATGAACCAGGAGGTCAAGGTTTGATTCCTGGTCAGGACACATGCCTGGGTTGCAGACTCAATCCCCAGTACGGAGCGTGCAAGAGGCAGCTGATCAATAATTCTCTCTCATTATTGATGTTTCTATCTCTCTCTCCTTCTCCCTTCCTCTCTGAAATAAATAAAAAATGTTTTAAAAAAATGCAGATTCTGCTACAACATGGATGATTTCTGAGGACATCGTGCTTAGTGAAATCAGCCCGCCACATAAAAACAAATGTATGTTTCTGCTCAGAAGAGGGCCCTAGTGTTAGAACACTCAAGGGGCCAAAGAGCCGCATGTGGCTTGCGAGCCAGGGTTTGCCGACTACTGGCCTAGGGTATTCAAATTCAGAGAGACAGAAATGGGATGTTGGTGGCCAGGGGCTGGGTGTAGAGGGGAGGGGAGTCATTGTTTAATGGGTACAGAGTTTATAAGATGAAGAGTCCTGTGGTGATGGTTGCACAACCATGTAAAAGTACTCAAAAATCACTGAGCAGTAACTCTTAAAAAATGGCCAAAATGGACAAAACCGGTTTGGCTCTATGGATAGAGTGTCGGCCTGTGAACTGAAGGGTCCTGGGTTTGATTCTGGTCAAGGGCATATATTTGATTGCGAGCACATCCCCAGTAGGGGGTGTGCAAGAGGCAGCTGATTGATGATTCTCTCTCACTGATGTTTCTAACTCTCTATTCCTCTCTCTTCCTCTCTGTACAAAATCAATAAAATATATATATATTTTTAAAAATGGCCAAGATGATAGATTTCATTTCTTTTTTTTAAAATATATTTTATTGATTTTGTACAGAGAGGAATGGAGAGAGATAGAAAGTTAGAAACATCGATGAGAGTCATCAATCAGCTGCCTCTTGCACACCCCCTACTGGGGATATGCCCGCAACCAAGGCACATGCCCTTGACCGGAATCGAACCCGGGACCCTTCAGTCCCCAAGCCGACGCTCTATCCATTGAGCCAAACCGGTCTCGGCAAGATGATAGATTTCATATGTGAACTGTACCACAATTAAATTTTTAAAAGTGAAAATGCAGCTTCTGATTCAGCAGGCTGGGGTGGGGCCTGAGATTCTGCATGCTATCAAACTCCCAGGTGAGGCTGATGCAATTTGGGTCCCACTTTGAGTGGCAAGCTACTGCAAAGCTCAGCCAGGTTCTTTCAGTTCCCCTTTAACAAGCCCGGCACCTGCTTTGCATTAAAGCTGTAGTAACTATTTGGATGAAATGGAAATGGAATTGGACTCTAGGCCCTTTGAGAGCTCTGACCTCCTCATTCTATCTTCAGAGAGGCTGCCCAGAAAGCTTCCGTCCCACAAGGCACAATCACAGCAAAATACTTCTAGAGTCGGAATGATTTTCTGGTCTT